TGTTCGTTTTCTCATTAATGAATTTTAAGTTACAGCCATTCCACTCCTAGGTAGTCACCCAAGAGAAATGAAAACATATGTCCACACAAAGACATGTACACAAATGTTCACATCCATACAATATAAAAGAACAAGATAGTGGTGCACATAAACCCATGGATGAATTTCATGACTGAAAGAAGCCAGACAAAAGAGAGTACATACACGTATAGTGGGATTCGAACTATAGAAAATTCTAGAAAATACAAGCTAGCAATGGTATCATGGGTATATTCTTTGTCAAAATCTATCAAAGTGCACATTTTAAATATGTGCAGTCAATGCACATATGCACGTTACGTATTTGCANTGGTGATAGGAACTTACAAATTTTCAGACCTAATATCTGACTCCAAATGTGAATCTATTAACGGAGGGCAAAAACTTTCTGAAATAACACTATTAATTTTTCCCAAATTATACAAGGAAGAGGAAACATGATTCAATGGAGTTGGAGAATGGCACCAGAGTAAAAGAATTTATATTTCTGGGACTTACTCAGTCCCAAGACCTGAGCTCAGTCTTATTTCTTTTCTTATTTTTGGTGTACATGACAACTCTGCTGGGAAACCTCCTCATCATGGTCACTGTGACCTGTGATTCCCGCCTTCACACTCCCATGTACTTCCTCCTCCGCAATCTAGCCATCCTTGACATCTGCTTTTCCTCCATCACTGCTCCAAAGGTCTTGGTGGACCTTCTGTCAAAGAAAAAGACAATATCCTACACGAGCTGCATGACACAGATGTTCTTCTTCCACCTCCTTGGTGGCGCAGACATTTTTTCTCTCTCTGTGATGGCGTTTGATCGCTACGTGGCCATCGCCAAACCCCTGCGCTATGTGACCATCATGAGCAGGGGTCGATGTGCTGCCCTTATCATGGCCTCGTGGGTGGGGGGCTTTGTGCACTCTGTCGTGCAGATTTCCCTGTTGCTTCCTCTCCCCTTCTGTGGACCTAATGTTCTTGACACTTTCTACTGTGATGTCCCCCAGGTCCTCAAAATCGCCTGCACTGACACTTTCACTCTTGAGCTTCTAATGATTTCCAACAATGGCCTGGTTACTACCCTGTGGTTTATCTTCCTCCTTGTGTCCTACACGGTCATCCTAATGATGCTGAGGTCTCAGGCAGGGGAGGGAAGGAAGAAAGCCATCTCAACCTGCACCTCCCACATCACTGTGGTGACCCTGCATTTTGTGCCTTGTATCTATGTCTATGCCCGGCCCTTCACTGCCCTCCCCACAGATAAGGCCATCTCTGTCACCTTCACTGTCATCTCCCCTCTGCTGAACCCCTTGATATACACTCTGAGGAACCACGAGATGAAGGCAGCCATGAGAAGACTCAGGAGAAGACTCCTGCTGTTGGAAAGGAAATAGAAAAAAGTTCCACAAGTCTTCATCACCAAGGACTTCTTTATTATTTTTCCATAGATTCATATTTTTACACCCAAATACGTTGTCAATAAACAAATGACACTTACTAGGTAACATTTCATTTTCCTATTTAAGTTAGTAGGTAACTGATAACCGAAGCTTGTGCTCAGCATGAAGTAACTAGTGTTATAGAATTGAGCTGATTGATGTATTTCCACTCAAAGACCAAGGTAACAATATGTCAATTAAGACAACTATGTAGAAGGCAAATAGGGTTCAAGTCCAAAAATAGGGTTGGACTCGATCACCCTCTTTGCCTTTTAAATAGTTGATAAGAAGATAATAGAAAATAGAAGGTAAGAAAATAAAAACACAGAGAGATAAAGTGATTTGTTCAAAGTCTTATGTCAAGTTAATTACAGAGACATCTTCAAATACCCAAGCCATTGATGCTTTGCCACATGAATGTGATTTATGATAGTGCTCTAGAAAACTCTCATGGTCAGTGCCTCTGAGATGCACAAAAATTGGTATATATGGCCTATTGCAGATTGAGAAATTGACCTTTGCTTGGTTAAATTACATGTGGGCCCATGAGCTACTGAAAATTTCATAGACACATATTGATTATCTTCCTAGATTCCTATCAGGAATGAAGAAGCTTAGAAAGATTTCTCATAACAGCCTAAAGGTATTTATCTTAATGTAGAACTAGACCAAAAAAAATAAAAATAAAAATAAAAAACAGAACAAAACTAAAGATGCCGGATTCACATTCTTGTGATGAGTTTAGGCAAAGGCAGAACCTCACGGTTGCCATTGGGCAATCCATTTTTATTCTGCAAGTACTGATTTTTCTGGTTGCAGCCTTAAGAAGATCCATCTTGGCTTGGCTTTACCATTGAGAATTCACATTTCTTCCCACTGAGGGGAGAGAGAGAGAGAGTTAAAGAAGATGAAATTCTAACTGGTCTGTTTCTCAAACTGTTGGCATTGGTGAAGAGGCAGTAAAGGCTAGTGTTATTGTCGGGGAAAGCAGTGAGGCGTGGTGATTGAAAACTCTAACTTCAGAGTCACACAGACTTGGGTCCAGATCCCATCTCTGCCACACACCACCTGTGTGATTTGGGCAGTTTATTTCATGTCTCTAAAGGTCACACAAGTACTTATCATAATATCCATCTCATGGAGTTGCTGTGAAGGTTAAAATGAGATGGTGTATGTGAAGCATATGAGGCCCGGCAGACAACAGATGCTCAATGAGAGCCAAATGTCACTATTAATATCATCTTTATTGCTGTGCCTAACACACCCTCTGTTCCCCATCGGCCTGTCTTTTCGTGTATGGCCCATACTCCTCAATGTTAGATCACTATTAATATCATCTTTATTGCTGTGCCTAACACACCCTCTGTTCCCCATCGGCCTGTCACACTCTTTTCGTGTATGGCCCATACTCCTCAATGTTAGAAAAAAAAACTGATGGAGTTGAAAATATGGGAATATACATTAAATTCAAATCATCTCTTATCCTAAAATTTCTAGCTTACTATCATTAACACATGACAATAGGTTTGCTTGTTTTTTGTCGAGTCATCTTGAAGCTGGTGTTTCATATCAAAAGGAGATCATGGGTCAAAGATAAACCCTGGCTTTGAGACTAGCTATAAGGATCAGACCAAGAAGACAAGTCCCGTGGAGTAGAACAGAGATCCCAGGGAGAGTTAACCAAAGCACAGTGAGTGCCAAAGGCAAACTTCACTCATGCCCCAACTGGATCTGGCCTGGCTCCATCAGCATTCATTAACTGACTGGCTCAAAGGTTTGCCATCTCCTGTCACCTGATCAACCAATTCTAACATTTTTACTATACTGACTTACTTCTCCAAGCATAAAAATTCTAAGAACAATTCACACTTAGCAAGTCACTATTTGTATGGTCCAGCTACCTTTGCCCAAGTAGAATTGTTCTCAAGAGTTACAGGTTTACTTTATGTAACTGCCTGTGAAAAATGCACACCACAAACCACTTAGTAGACCATTTGCGCAAATACATCCTTTCCTTTCCTTCCTGTCTCTTGTAACTGACTAAAATCAGGTTTTTATCTCTGTCAGAATCAGATGGCAGTAAAGAATTATGAGGTCTGGATCACTGAATCTAAAAAGCATCATCCTAGGGGGGCAAGAACTCAGGAATCCCTATCACATCACTGCCCCGATGACTTCCTCAAATAATGTCTAAGCACGCAATAAAACCTGATTCAGCAACTCAGGACAGGTTCAACAATTGCACCTGATCACACAAACATTTATCCAGATGACATAAAATCATAAGTTGGGCCGCATTTTTCCCATTTCAATCAATTTTTTACCAGCTTTATTGAAGCATAATTGACAAATAAAAACTGTGTAAACAGTGTACACACGATGTTTTGATATGTGTATACATTGTGAAATGATGTATTTTTTTTTTTTTCTTAAGCTCTGCTGCTAAGAACCAATAGAAGAATCAAGTGACTCTGGACACGTGGCTTTCAAGCTACCATTTGTACAAATGCTCTCTGAATCAAATGTTTAAATGATAAACATTTCTGGGTACCCATGAAAAAATAACATAAAATAATTTTGAAGTAATTAAGTTGATAAATATCAAGAGCTGTAACCATGTTACCTCCCTAAATTCTGAGTGAGCTATAGATCTCAGAGATGTAGATTAAAATAATTGTATGGGGGGGATGCGCATGCTGCTTTAAACAGAAATCGTAGAAATAAATCTGCATAGTCCAGTCTCCAAGAGATGTTCTGACAGTAGGCACAGAGCTTTGAGCTTTTTCACTGTTATCTTTTCATCTAAGTTTCATTTCTTAGCTGATTGCGAACAAAATGACTTTGGCCAAGAGGAAGACTGCACACTCCTTGATGTTAATATAACACAACACTTTCTTCTTGAGTCAAAGGATGAAAAGTACTGTCTCATGTGCTTCCTGTAGAGGAAAGGATATGTCCTGAATGAGCACTGTTGCCATTGCATATAAGTGTGAGATGGGACAGAGAGGAGATGAAGGAGAGAGAGAGAGAGAGAGAGAGAGAGAGTGCATGCACATGCCTGGTGACATATTAATGACTTCCTGTATTGGGCTTACGACTGATGGACTAATACAGGTGGCTGAGGTACAGCAAGGCAAAATAGAAGAGTCAGAACAATGTGATTCCCTGAAGTTGCCTTTTCCCAACTGTGAAAGAAGGAGATAACAAAACCACTAGCCTTGAGGTAGGCTTTTCTTTAAACATAGAATTTTCCAGGATCAACTTCTTCTAAGATGCAGTTTGGGCATCATAAGAGGATCAATTTCCTACATGGAGATTAAGCCAACCGTTAGTTTTAGTGTGTGTGAATTTCTGAAACTGAAAAACTGTTAGGGTTGAATTTCCAGAAATGTTATAAGTGTATAGAATGTTTCTATCAAAGTCAAATCTTTTAATGAAGCAAGCAAAAGTGGTAGCTTATCATTACTAGGAAGCGAAAAAGTATGGCTTGCAAAATATAGAAAGGTGCACTGGCTCCAAGAAATGTAGCTGCATTTTACTTGGCAACATATTGAGGTTCAAAGTATTTTGAAGGTAGTTGAGAAGGTGCTGATATTCCCAGCTCTCAGGAGGGTGACTACTTTGGAAAAACAACATTTGAGGAAACAATTCCTGAGTTCAACACATACGGTCTGACCAGCTTTGCTTCTTGACTGGGAATGGAAGTTTGGGGGCTTTGAGTAATGTGTCTTAATGACTCATTTATCTGTGCTCTCCTGTGCCACTGAACATAAATATTGTTTCTGAGACTTTTAGGGATTCAATCAAGAGTAGAGGATTTTCAAAATTGGGGAAGAGAAAACTGTGACATGAAAGGCATACCTGAAAGTCAACTCAATGTAGAGGATGAGGCAGCATTTGCTTAGTGAGATGCTGGGATATGGGGGCATCCCTCAGTTGGCAGGCTCTGTCCAAGATGTGTGATAAGTGTAATTCCAATGGGTGGTCCCCTTTGGGGTGATTTCTAAGAAATCCTCATGATTCTTATTTTGACCTTGCAAAGACACATGAAATTGTATTTCGTTATCCATTTCTCCACCCTCCTTTTCATTGGGCATTTTTTCCCTGAAATATGCATAATTGTATATTTTCAAAGTATCTTTCCCACTCTGTATAATGTTGAATATACTAATTATCCTGATTTGAGCACTACATATTTTTGCACACAGGCATTGATATTCAATGCTGTACCCCACAGATGTGTACAATCAATTATGTCTTAATAAATAAAAAAAAGAAATAGGGTTTTTGTGAGGAAAATAGAGTAGTTTAATCAGGCTCCGTTGCCTCCAGTCCAGTTGGGGTGGTGCAGCACATTCTCTGTAAACAAGTTGTGTGGGGGGTGGAGTTAGTGTGCATGAGTGCCCATGTATTTTTAGCTTGTTGTTATTCCTATGTGTTTCTTCAGAGTGTGTAAAGCAGCAGGTCTGAACTGCTGGTCTGCAGAGCTTGCATCTAGAAAAAACGCCTATTATTTCTTCACCTACAACTCCGAGGACCTTTTTCCTGTTACCTAGCTCATAGACCTGTGTGTGAAGGGTTTGTAAAAGGGCTTGAGGGGTCTGTGAGACCTAGCCCTAGCTCTACAGTGTTTTAAGGTCCAGAAATCCCCAAAATGCCTCTTCCTGATCATAAACCCTCTCTTTTCCCTAAATGTAACCTCTATATTCACCTTTGTAATAGTTCATTTCCTTGTTTTTCTTTATTGTTTTCCTTTTATCCCTGAAAATATTGGTTGAATTTGCCTATTTTTATCTTTAGAATCATGCTACATGTATTGTTCCTTCTGTTGCTCAAAATGATGTGTTTTTTGAGATGTATCATGTTGTTTTCACTCTCTGATAGTGTTCCATTGTATGAATATACTAAATTTATTGGTCTTTTTTATTGATGTGCATTTGGGTTTGTTCCCACTC